GCTGGAAGTGCCGCAACCGGCTGAGTCTTCTCGGGGATTGTGCGGACGCCGTCGTTACCAAGTACGTGGCCTAGGAACTTCAGTTCGTCAAAGGCGAACCGGCACTTGGACGGCTTAAGGGTGATCCAGTGGTCTGTATGGCTTGGAGAACAGCTCGGAATCGTCGCAAATGCTTGTCGAAGTCATTTGAAAACACGACGACGTCGTCAAGGTAGACGAGACAGCTGTGCCACTTCAGTCCTGTTAGTACGGTGACCATCAAACGCTGGAACGTTGCCGGCGCCGTGCATAGTCCGAATGGCATCACTTTGAGTTCGTACAGTCCATCCGGAGTGACAAAAGTTGTTTACTCTCTGTCCCGTTCGTCGACTTCGATCTGCCAGTAACTGCACCTTAGATCCATCAATGAAAACTATCGAGAGTGGCGCAACCGGTTTCGCGTGTCATCGATGCGGGGGTATGGATAGACGTCTTTCTTCGTTACCGGGTTAAGCTGTCGGTAGTCTGCGCAGAACTTAAGCGTTCCGTCCTTGTTTTTAACAAGCACGACTGGAGAGGCCAACGAACTGCTTGAAGGCTGAATAATGTGGTCGTTGAGCACTTTCTGCACTTGCTCTTGAATGACCTCCTTTTTTCTACGGAGACTCGGTACGGCGAGCAGTGCACAGTGAGCGCGTCGTCCTCGGTAGCGATGTTATGCTTCGCAACGGCGGTTTGGCGCACCTACAACGACGTCGAAAAGCAGTCGCTCTTTTCTGCGAGGAGGTCAATCAGCTGCCGTCGTTTCAGCCGTGGAAGCTTGCGGTCAATGTCGGGTTTTTGCACATATTAAGGGGCAGAAAGAATAAGCAGTACTTATTTATTCTAAACTGCACTAAATTGCGTGGGTTTCACTTCATTTTGATCGTCTGCATGCTCACCGACGTAGTGATCAAGTGTTACTCCGTAGTTTTTAGCCGTCTCTCTTGGTTTTCCACATGTCCTTCGTTCGTTTGGCACGTATATTCCCATGCTACAAAGCGCCGATGCCGTGTTCGCGCTAACGGTGTCCGGCAGTGCAAATAAATACACCTAAGAAGCAGTTTTAGCACCGGTTTGGTTGCCACGAGTTAAAGAAGAAACGCCGTAACTAACCAATTAATGTGATTGCGTGACTAAGAAATGTTCCTGTCTACCTACAAATACGCAAGAATTATTCGTAACATTTGCTCTTATAGCTAAGCGCTGGGAAAAAAGGCCCCCGCTTTTTCACATCAAAATGCATTGCCCTAAGTCAATTTCTGACGGGTTGCTCTCTGCTTCAATTTGCAGCAGCACACTGGCGCCAGTTGAACTTCTAGTGTACACCATAATAAGTCTATGGTCACTACCGTTGTCATTGCGGGAAAATATCCCTAGCAAGCTTAAAACAGCACGTGTTGCCCACACGACCGACACGCGCTTCGCAGCTGAAAGATCCTTCCGTGACGGGACGACCGTTTGGAAGAATTTTCGTTCTTTCTCCCTTTTAGTTACATCTTTAGGGAAAATCAACGTGATAATCAAATGCAGAGTGTGAAAATACTCTAAAATTCACCTATAACTCGCATTTTTCATGAACCTCTTCAGCTTCTCTTTAAAGGGGCACTGCAATTGGACAACAAAAACAAAATGCTGCTTCGAAGGGCGTGCCTGTCATTGTCAAACGCAAGCGTTCACTGACAACACAGTTCTAGAACGTCGGATAATTATACTTTGTTTCAGCTTCGTTCCGAGCGCGGCCGACGTTATGAGCCGAAGGGCCAATCTAACGGCGAAAAAGGCGCACCGTCACGGCGTGCTCTTCGCAGTTGATAGGATCAGAGGTGTTCGTCGTCTTTCAGTGCACGCTGCTCCTCCGCCGGCTCGTCCTATCAAGAGCGGAGAACGCCATAACGTTGCTCTTTTTGCGCTCTTTGAATGGACCTTCGGCTCATAACAGCGGCCACGCTCGGACCAAAGCTGGAACCAAATATAGGAAGCAAGGAGTCACGGCTGCTCAACTGAGCCATAAGCTCAGCGGGTCATAAAGCAAGATGCGCTGACACGGCGAAATGCGGCGCAATGCCGGAGGCGGTATCTCCAGTTTCGAAATGTGTAGCCGGCGCTCATCAGCCGCAAGCGCTATCTCCGAGGCGGTACCACGCGCCCGATTCGCAGTCAGGCGCCGCGCCGCAGAAAAGCGGAAAAACACACATGCTCGCACTCACAGTAGGACGCGCATGCCCTTTTGTGTGGTCTCGAAACCAGGCGACCCGCCGGCAGATAGAATTGCAAGGAGTTTCACTCGCAGCTCGCGCGTCCTGGGGAGTTTTGTCCCCGACTGTATGTTCACCTGATGCTTGTACTATCCGTAATGTGTGTATAGTATAAAGGATCCCCAAGGCGCAGCAGTGGCCTGAGAAAATCATGTTATTTTTTGTAGAGCATGAATTGGGCGGTACCTAGCGCCACCTAGCCTAGCTACTTGCAATTACTCTGCTTGACCCCGCCATCTGGTGGCTAGCGATTTAACCTTCTTTCACGCTACGCGATAGACAGAGGCTTCAAGTTTGTTCATTCGAGTGCGGCTTTTTGTTCCGCGGATTGAGTTTGCCCTTCTCCATGATGCCTAATAAGGCGGTTGACGAAGGAATTTTGACTCGAGGAACACCAAAGGTAAGACGCAAAGTGCGCGAAGTAACTGGGTATCGGTTGTCTCCGTTTAACATCGCAGTGCTGACGACGAGAAGACTGCATGGTCTCGAAACGGCAAGTTTCTGTACCTGTGGGGGGAATCTGGCTTCGGAAATAAACACATTTCGTGGAAAGCTCGTGTTACGCTTTTATTTGCTGTTCCTCGCGTTTTGTACAAGAGACGTAGCGTCCTCGTCAAGCCTTATTGGGCTCGATTTGCTCGATTCGGGGCCTCCATATTGATATCCAAGCGACGGAGGAACTTCGCTTCCCTGCTTCAGGGACGAAAGTTTCTCCCTTTCTAAAGGATCATAGGTTACAAGACCGTTCATCCCCTAAGGGAGGACTATCCATACCCTTTTTTCTAAGAGTGTACAGCATAATGTTCTTGCAGTGTTCCTGGCTGTCAAACATTTCAGGTATATCCTTGAGGGTCACGAGTTTCATATCCTGACGGACCTTAAGCCTCTAACGTATGCGTTCCATGGCAACCACACCGCCTACTGCTCCCTAGAGATACGACAACTGGCTTTCATTTCCGAGTTCACGGTTGATCTCCGCCACGTAAAAGGCAAAGACAACTCAGCGGCGGACGCGCTCTCCCATGTCGACGCTGTCTGGGCAGGTCGTGGAGCTGTCGATTTTGAGAGCATTGCTGTCGCACGACGAGATGATCCGGAGTTGCTTGCTCATCCTGACATGCTGAAGTCCTTGGTACTCAGGGAAGTTCCTCTCCCTCATTCTAACGGGACCATCCTCTGCGACATGTCTACCAGCAGTCCTCGACCTCTTGTTCCGCTAGCTCTTCGTCTGAACGTTTTCGACCACCTCCACAACATCAGTTACCCAGGCATCCGAGCCACACAGCACCTGATAAGAGCTCGCTACATCTGGCCTACCATCAACGCGGATGTACGTCGCTGGGCACGAACATGTCTGCAATATCAGCACTCTAAGGTGAGCCGGCACACGGTGACTCCATTGGTACCGTTCCGCTCTCCTTCTGCACGGTTCGACCATGTGCATCTTGACATTGTGGGTCCACTGCCTCCATGCCGGGGATTTACTTACATCTTGACTTGCGTTGACCCCTATACCAGGTGGCCCGAAGCTATACCCCTACCCGACATCACTGCCGAGACTGTCGCCAGGACGTTTGTGGAGGTTTGGATCGCCCGCTTTGGCTGTCCAACAACCGTCACTACGGACCGGGGATGGCAGTTCCAGTGCTCGCTTTTTGCCGCTCTAGCCCAGCTCCTAGGAGTTCATCATGTGCATACTACCGCCTACCACCCCTCGGCAAACGGCATGGTAAAAAGACTGCACCGACAATTCAAGGCAGCAATTACGGCACGAGACGGGCGACTCAACTGGGTCGATCACCTACCATTCGTCCTCCTCGGCGTTCGATCCGCGCTCAAACTAGACCTCGGATGCACCGCAGCGGAACTCGTCTATGGCTCGACACTTAGACTTCCTGGTGAATGTTTCAACAGCAACACAAATTCCCGAACTGTTCCATCCCAAACGTACTTGGACAACCTGCGAGAGCTGATCCGAGAGCTTCAACCGACACTACCTCGATATCCTGATTCTCAGAAAGTTTTCGTCAGCCAGGAGATCCAAACATGCACACATGTTTTCATCCGCAAAGAAGGCAGCAAGAAAAGACTGACTCCGCCCTACGATGGACCTTTCAAGTTGCTCAAACGCACCGAGAAAACCATGACTCTAGACGTCAACGGACATACAGAAACCATAGCGACAGACAGACTCAAGCCTGCATTTCAAGAATTTAAGGACCAGTCTCCATCCACAGAACACCTACTGTCTCTGCGAGCGAACAAGACCCCTCCCACAAGGAAGCGTGTCTCATGGGCCACATAACTCCAAATAGCTTTTCTTGTACTTTAATGTCGGAACCGAATCTACTCATTATTTTTCTTCCTTTTTTGTTTTTGCCAGCATGGGATCTATTAGTTTTTCTTCTCCTACGATCCATGCTACCAATGGGGGAGCCTAGACATTGAGGCACCCTAGGGGAGCCCTGTAGGAGCCCGCAACAATGGCCGCAGCACGGAGCTCGGGTCACGAGCTCCATGACGCGGGTCACGCGCAAATTTAAAACGTGCGGGCAGTCGGAGCCCGAGCACCAATCGATTCGGTCGTGTTCTTTTTCCCATACATGGTATATGCGTGCTGTAGTGACCACACGAAAGGGAATGTCTCAGAACCCGCCAACACGAAGTAGGGTGCTACTACACTATTTTAAAAAGAAACACGGACAAACAAAACTTCTGTTCCAAATCGCATGTTCTCCTTGCTTTATTTCCGCTAACCACTTTTGGTTTGCCTTTTTTTATTTTTGTGCTTACAATCCTATGTTCTCCGCGGTGCTCCCTAACTCCCCCGAAAAAAGAAATAAGAAGCGAAAGAGGTTATTCGTTGCGCAATCTACCTCTTAAGATCTGTCAACGCACACTCTGAGATCCGTAAGGGCTTGCTCAAGAGCGTCCTTGAACTTGGTGATGTTCTTCTCGGGGGAAGATTTGTTGCAGCTCAGGCCGAAAGTGACAGATTCCGGTCGGATGTTGTACATGACCATGTAGGTATCAGGAAAACCAGGATCCTCCAAACTAGTGCCGTCGCATTGAAGATTCACCTTGGCGAAAAGTGGAAACAACCGTCAGGCTTGTAGGGTCACGTGTTCTCAAAAACTGCCAGTTCACGATCTACCAAACTAATTCCCGAATGCATAACCGTAAAAGCTTGTAAAGTTGACAGGCACACTTCGTCACTCTGGCGTGCTTTCAAGTACATACCTCACACCACCTGAATTTACGCGGGGAGGGGGGGGGGGCGGGGGGAAGGAGGCGAGCGGGCACAAGGATATCCCAGATTTGCTTACCCGACATGCGTAAGCAAATCTGTGGGTCGGATAAAGCCTAGCTTGGGTGAATTACTGAGGCGTGTTTACCAAAGCATCGTCCTTACAGACGCCCTCGAGCTCCTCGCGTTTTTCGCGGTTACAGAGGCCGCCGGCTACGCTCCATGGGACAGTTAATTCTTTCGCATTAAAACCAAAAGAAGGGTGTTTATAACAAGATACGATATGGAGTTAACAGTCTTTTGAAAATGAGCAAGTATAATTGTCAATTAAAACAAGTAACACAAGGCAATACGTACATTTTTCCAACCGCTAATCAAAATTTATATTTATGCGCGGTTTGCTTGCGAGCCACTGTCCCTGATGCCCGTTAGGCGTATGCGGTTTGAAATTCTCCGAAGAAAAAAAAAAAGAAAAAAAAATAGGGTTACAGTACCCTGTCAAAAAGTAATCCAGCTGTATGTCCTTAGTGAAGTACAAGATTGACAAGACTGAGTTATTTTATCTATTCCAGAATATTTTTTGGGGGGGACAGAGGAGGGGAAGGGGGCACGCTCACTAGAGAACTGCGAGCCGCCCTTAAACCAGCGCAGTGCCGCGTGCGGCTTGCGACCCGCAGTTTGGGCACCACTGTCTAGCATATGATAAATCTAAACGTGTTGTAAGGCAAGGTCGAAAAACGGAGAAGCCCTTAGAACGTAGTCACAAAATGATATCTTCGGAGCTATTTCTTTTTCTTTTTTTTTTCTGAACCGATAATTTCTGGACAAATGCGGCATATAATTTCTCCGTCATAAAATGAGGACGACATTTATTTATTTTATAATCGCTAAATATATTTCTGATAATTCACTGTGAAAAAACAGCCGATAAAAGCATTATATTTAACAAGATTTTCAATGTTTTTTTTTTATTCTGCAAAGACTGGACAGGCGTTTTAGGTGTAATGTATGACGTAATCGAAATATTTGTCTTGTTTATTAAATTCACGTTTTTTTTTTCGTTTTGTGACTGCGGTCACGGGCAGTGCAGTTCCGGCTACTCCATTGCAGTTAATTAAAAATAGACGCGTACAAATAAAGAAATGTACATAAATGATACAATAGCAAGTAGCGTTCGGCCTAACTTGTGTGTAGGTTTTTTTAAAGAGAAAAACATTCACTTTTGAGTGAGTTGCACGTTGTCAGGGTACGCGCTTGTACAAACTCTGTTCTGTGCATCCCTAGCAATTTGTGGCGGACGCACTACGATTATTCTTGCCCAGCTTTGGATGCCTGGTGAGATTAAAATGAGATGCGCGGAGTGAACAAGATGGCGCAGATATCTAAGTTACCCTTAGACGAAAGCACACTACACAAATAGTGCTCATAATGCCGAAGTCAAACTATTGGAACATTCTACATAAGACAGTCTGTATTGTATTATAAGGGCCATTTCACATCAATTACACAAACACTTCGGCAGACGTGTTCGAAGAATGCCCATGTGTGAAGAAAACATTCTTCGGAAGTGCTTCTCCGCGAAATTAAGTAAGGAAATTGACTTCACGTACCCTAGTCACCAAATAAATTTCCCCGTAAATTTTAGGGGGTAAATGTATTGATCCAGTTTTCCGGCTAAAGATTATTGGGGAAATTGACGGCCTGATAGCTAAGCCCCATTTCCGATTCCCCTTTACATTTACCTGGAACGCTGCTGGCACGTGAACTATACTCCAATTCAGTGACCGGCTATATTGAACAGGAAAATTGGTATCATGTTACATCTGTACAAATTATTTTTTTTTCTGTTAAATTGTAGCAGGACTTAAAGAAATCTGATGCACCCGGCGCGCGTCACACTATTGTTCACAGTCCTACTGACATGTCGGGATATTTTTTCCGGTGTGTTACACTGGATAATTAACTCGAATTATTTATCAAACATTATTAAATATTAATTTGTGCGCAAGCACTGTGGTACAAAAGTGGGAGACCGTGTTGAGAGAGATCACATCGTGCCGTTTCATAAAGGGTATTCACACGGGGGAGAAATCCCTCCCTTTGTTCCCCGGGATGCGCATTACGTGAGAATTAAACGTGTAGCTTTTGCGCTTTGACACTCAAGTAGATATCCAAGAAAGGTGGGGAGCATTTTGCTCCAGCTGCACAAACGCACTCCGCCTTGGCTTGGCATCTATTCGCAAGTGGCGGTGTTTTGTTCGCGTGTCTGGGAACTTTGCAGATGTAGCGCAGTGAGATGCCGGCGGTGTCATTGTGATTCACTAACTTGTTGTGGCTTGCGCTCTTGCGCCCCAAGGAGTCTTCGATACCCACCCAATTCCGACCTCAAACCCCACCTCATACAACTTACTTTTCATCCCACGTCCTCTGTGTTGCATCCACCGATTCAAGAAGCACCTTTCTTTTAGCAGGGAGTAATTCGTCGTCTCCTTCATCTAAGAGCGCTGCTGCCAATATCGCGTATCGCCTCCGTCTTTTTTCGTTATTTTTTTTTTACTTTAGACAGCAGTCACCGAGCCCTGTTTGCGAGATTGCGACCCCTAAATGCGTCTGATAACACTGATATCCCCCTGGGCTCCCCGCCGGTAGTGTAAATGCTGGAGACAAAGAAGGAGTCTCGCCCGTTTAGCCGATCACTGACGTCAGGCATATCCCGTCCCCGAAACGCATATCATGTATAAATTCCCACATTAGGTAACTTTTCCGTGTATTCTTTTTTTAAGCTTTCAAAAAGCTAAAACATTTCCAGAGCGATATGAAGAAAACAAAATCGCAGGCCACTACCCGCCAGCGTACTGCAATAATAACGCCTGTAGTCCGCTGGCTCTTTTTTTATGTTGAGCCATTTTTTTAACCCATTCGCGACCAAAGCCGGCGAATCACCGGGCGTACTGTATAGGATCATATTGCCAAAGCCGGCGATTCGCCGGTCTCCATGAACTTCTGTTTTGAAGAGCCATTCATGGATGGCGCGCTATGCAGACTTGAGGTAGTGTAGTTAGATACATTGCCAAGAGATTGCAAGGGTCGTTCGGTTCGCTGTGTTTGAGCTTGTTATTTTGAGTGTCCTCTTTCCCGCTCGATCGCTGCCTGCTTGGAGACGATGGCAGTGCACAGTGTTAGGTGTGGCCTTTTTGACGATGCATTTATGAATGTCCTCTTCGGCAACGATGATGACGAGACTTCTGGTGAGGATCGTGAGTTTTCGGAGCCTCCTCTCGACGACGGAAATGTCTCCGACAACAGTTCTGAGTTCGAATCACTAAAAGTGTGCGCTGGTTGCGCGATGTCTGAGCGACCGACGATGAAATACTTCAAGATCTTTCGTGCGAGGAAGAATCCATGAGGGACTAGTGATATATAGACTTCATCGAATCACTTAATCATCTGAATAAACATGTTTTCTTGTTTTCTCCACTGAGTTGTACTGTAAAAGCTTGATATACCAGCAAAATGGTCACGCCTAGTGTGGCTCTGTTTTAGGTGGAAAACATGCCGTACAGACAGCCCGGCTGCGTGCGACGCGCGCTCTATAAAAAGGGGGTTTAAAGATTTAAACCTCGATATAACTAGACACACACAAAGTTATTTCTATGGGAACGACCTAACGACATGTTTCGCAGCACTCTCTACAACGATTTTATAGAAGAGTCTGCGCACACATTATTATTGAAAATTTTTCGTAATTAGTCTGCGTTAATATGCGGATTCGGCACATCACAAAATATATCTTAACTTGCTCAATAAGATTGTGAACAATTTTGCGAGAATTCGGCAAGTAACAGTTATCTGTTTTAAAGTTTTAAAACAAGTTAGCTCAAACACCCCTGAAAAATTCGGAGATAAAGGTCGCTACCAACCTTTATTTTTTTATGACATAGGTGCGATACAAAAACACGACAAAAACGCATATTGAAGCAAGCACAGCATACCTGGCTGGCTACCAAAGCAGGTCGCCAGAAAGCCTGGTTTTTGAGGAAAGGGTGAATGGGGATACCGTTTTCGAGGCTAATGAATATCAAGCCATATATCATCCGCTGCACGCCGAAGCCGTCCGCTGCCTGTGTAGGAAACACAACGGAAAACAATTAGGCCTCTCAAGTAAAGCAAGCAACTGTGGTGTAGAGTTTATACTTTTTAGGAAGTATTTACAAATGGTCACTGACACGAAATGTTCTCTTTCTCTTCACACCGGTCTCTAGATTTTACCCTTTTTCTCGGAGCGGTGGAAAGCCAGGAGATTAACCAACCGTAACATGCGGAGAACCAGGAATGTCAGCAGGTATTGTTAATATTCTGAACCGCCCGCCATGGCAAGTGATTTGACACGTTTTAAAATTATCTCTTCGACATGTAAAAGCAAATTTTCGTATTTTCCAAATTATTGTGGTCAAGGCACTGGTAACAAAGATATCGAGGCGGCGCCGACACAGATGCGATCGCAGCTCCAATGCTCACGCCCCATCTCAGGTTCGAGAACAAGACACACCACAACCAAACATGAGATTCGTTCCATAAAATTCACGATCAGCGTTTTTTTGTTTTTTTTTAAAGTACTAACCGCTATTAGAGAGTTTTAGTGGACCGTTTCCATTTTCGGCTCCGCTCTCAGGATGCCAAACTGCGCACTCGCGGTCTGCTTCGCCGGAATGGAAAGCGGAGGTCTAAAAACGCCTTTTAGTAGACCGGTTTTCTTTATCGCAAGAGCGTTTCGAAAGTGTTAAAAAAAATTCACTTGCGTAGCCCCACAAGTGGACGTTTACAGTACTAGTAAAACAAAAAAACACCAAACGTTAACACTAAGAGAGTGAAAGGATCGTGTTTGCAGAGGTGGTAAAAACGAAGGCGAGAGTAATGAACACAAAAGCGTAGGCACACACTCGAAAAATATTAAGCTATAAAATATAAATATAATCGTTCCACCATGTGTTCGAGTGAAGCCGAAGGTATAAGCACGAGCATGTTGCTCTACACTGTACTCGCACTGCACGAGCGCGCGTGCTGGCCAAGGACGCTAAACGTTCGGCACTCGCTCTTGTAGCTTCAGCTACTTATGCTCCACTCGAATTAAAAGCAACGCGGATTTACGTATTCAAAGTAGAAAAATTAATGAAACGGACGAAGTTTGCGCATTGCAAGAACACCCTTTTGCTAAGTACGAGAACAACCTTGTGCGAAGTTTGACTACAGTGTTGCACAAAGCTAGCAAGGTAACTGCACGATGGATCCCCGCTGTTTTCAAGGAAGGAGACTTCTACTAACGAGATTAAGCTGGCGAGACATCGAATTTATGATTTGCATCACCCATGCTATGAAGTGCCGAAGCTTCCTTTCCGAACTGTGTGCTGGACATTGCCAACGTGGAAGAAAAATTCTTTTGAAGGCAATCCCGCTTCCAGAAGGACCTGGCTGCTCTGCAAGCGGGCCTCCAAATCCCAGCACCCGTCAGATAGGCGCAGGGTGTTGCCGATCCGGCGAGACGCTTCGCATGGTTTTTGTCGGCTGGCCTATTCCAACCGTATGTTCGAACTTGAATGAGCGTTTGGACGGAACTCGTCGGTGTTCTCCCGTATTATGACCACGACCGGTTTTATAGGGGCGACCTGCTCATTCTGCGTTTCCTTATGGGAGCGCGAAGGTCAAGAAATATCCCGTGAACGGCTTGGGGGGACCGAGTGTTCTGCTTCGCGCCGCCCTAGCTCACCACAAAAATCGTGGCGGCCGCTATGGAAGGCAATGGGAGCGTGTTGAAATAACGTTGGTTTCGGATGATTTCTGTCACTTTAATAGGTAGGCCCTAATGCTAGCACATTGTGTGTATATAATAATGTAATATGAGTCACCATATCATAGTTTTCTCGAGCAGAATGGTTAGTATTGTGAGCTACGCATCAGTAGGGTGTGCGAGTGTACAGGATGGTGCATCCAGTCTGCCTGCTGGAGCGCACTCACGTGATCGAAAAAAAAATCGAGTTAGATGCTCCGGCGGTGGGCCGTGACACTCTTGGTGAATGTTCGAAGTGAGACACTGTCGATTGGTGGTGAACTGGGTCTGCGAAGTTGGATCGCACAGGGTGGGAAGGAGTTCTAGTGACTAAGCGTACGGGTAAAAAGGGGCGCCGCCGCAGGGAGGGGGCAGATGTAAGCGAGGAGTTTGGTGGCAGAAAAGTGGCTACGAGCCGCGTGGTCGCTACTTAAGGACGATGTTGAGGCCGATCCCTGCCTACTGAACGGAGGAGGTGCAGCGCTCAATAGGATGCTGTTCGGGGGCCAAGTTGGCGCCATAATAAGGTAGGAGGCGTGACGTTGCACCAACTCGAAGGAGGCAACAAGTTGCCTGGTTGCCGAATCCCACACCGAGCAGCAAAGCTCCAGGATGGGCAACACCAGTGCTGTGAACAGCAATCTGGGCACATCGCGACTGGCTCTTCTTGTGGACCGAATGACGTAGCCAAGGAGTCGCCTTTCCCCGGACACGACGTTTTTGACGTAACGATGGAAATCGAAATGCTGGTCGATGATGACACCTAGGGGGCAGATATGCGTTGATCTTGAGATCTCCACTAGGCTCAGGAAACGTGTTGGAGAAGTCGAAGGTTGGCGCGAGGCAATGATCTGCATGGTAACACGTTCGGTTTAAGTTTAGGGGAAGTTTGTTATCTTTTGACCTAAGAAGAATGCTATCTAGATCAGCTTGTGGCTCTTTACCCAACGTAGAATCGCAAAAACGACGAAAAAAGTCCTTAAAATAATAAAGCATATTATCGTCAAAACGTCGCTGGTCGGGGAGCCGACACACATAGATATACTCTGTTTCACCTTATGATGTACCGTACGGAAGGCTACAAGCGCGAGCTCCTTGCTCTAGGGCACATCTCGGCGGCACAAGGTCTCGTGCGTTAAGAGTAGCTCCCAACGCTATGACCTCGCGCTTCTAGCCTTTTCTGCGGTACAACGTAAAGTGAAATGGAGTATAGTAGATACACACGCGAAAGCGTCTGCTAGTGTGGTGAGCTAAAGCACCAGTAACCGCGGTGGCGGTTCAGCGAACTAGCAAAGTACTAAATAAGCAAAAGCAAATGCGGCGCGCTTGCGCTGCCTAGGGTGACCTGGTCGCCCCTAAAGGAAGTATTCACTGGGGGCCATAGCTGTGTGCGCGAGTGCTGAGCGCGTGCTGATGGCGAGCTTCCAAAGTTCTTTTGTAACGTGCATTCCGCACCCTCAGGATTGCCGGTCTTAGCAGCCTATTGATGTGAGCTCGTTCCGAGCATGCGCTCTAAACAGCACACACATATATGACGTCCAGTGAATACTCTCTATGGGAAGTATTCACTGGCGGCCATAGATGTGTGCGCGAATGCTGAGCGCGTGCTAAAGGCGAGCGTCCACAGTTCTTTTGCAGCGTGCATTCCGCACCATCAAGAGTGCCGGTCTTAGCAGCCTATTGATGTGAGTTCGTTCTGAGCATGGGCTCTAAACAGCGCCCACAAATATGGCGTCCAATGGATACTCCTTATTAAGCCGGCCGTGATTGTGAGCCTCACTGTGGGTCACATCAACAAGAGGCTCGGCCACCTGCTGGTTTACATGAACAAACGTAGGTGGTTGACCCTCGCGAAACTGGATCGAGTTGTGCTCGCAAGTGATACCCTGCATGTTTTTTTTTTTGTTGTTTTTTAAATTTCCTATTTCCAATGTTTCTAGCGCAGCTGCTGTCTCTGGTAAAAAGTTACCCTTTTTGATGTGCCAACAATTTAAGTCTTTACATTTGTTTCGGCACAAAAAAAAACAAAAAAAAACAAGGTGTACATGGGCCGTGTTAGTAGATATCACGACGAGCGCGTTTGTAATCTGTGAGGTTTAGTAGGCCACTTTTATAAGCCCTCTATGCTCTACTTTACGCTCTGCAAGAAGCATCATCCCCACCGCGCTTGCGTGGCCGGCTCTGAGTTGCAGCGTATAGTTTGCGGAGTGAGCGTGCTCTCCGCTTCACATGTTGCAGAGCGGACGGCTCTCAGCGTCCATAGCGTGATCGCTTATATCTCAAGATGGCTGATCTTACTCAATACGCGTCGATGTTTTTCATTGTGACTTCAGCCTGAAATAGATCAAATCAAGAAGTAAAGCGTACGCCCCACGCGTGAAAAGGAAACCTATTCAATAGACCGATCTCACCAGCTAGATTGAGTACGCCACCGCTGCCAATATGCATCGTGGGAGCTGTAGTCTTTCTGCACGCGCGACAACCGAGCTGGAGGTTTGCGCGAGCAAACCACGAGGCATCATGAGCTATCGCGTGAACTGTCGTCTGCCTCCTACGAACTACAGTTATGGCGGCGTCACGCATGCGTGGAACGCTTGGTGGGATCGGTAGAACATGATCCAACGAAGTGAACAAGTATCACTGTGCAACCAGCACGGTGTCGGTAAAGTTGTCGCGTTTTTGTGGACTTTCTTTGGCTATGCAGTCATATGTAGGGGAGCGCGTGCCTCAACACCGATTGTACCTGTGCGAGCGCCCTGCTGTCGAAAACGCCACTGTAAGTTGTCTACGAGCATAGCGATTGCAAGCCGCACCAAAGAAGCCGTTCCTCTCAACTTCCTTTAGTCATATTCGCGTGAAATTTTTAAATTGTTTAACTTTCCTCCGGAAATGTTTGCCTTGGATTTCCTAAGTAGATTTAGAAAATAACAGAGACTTGAATACAGCATTTCTAAAAGGGCATGTTATGCTGCCACTATTCTTCGAGGCCGCCTTTTTCTTTCCAAGCGTCTAGGGAGCAAGATGGCTGCGTCATTGTTCGTCGCAGATGCGAGTCTAAGTGCATTAGACACAAATGCTGCGTCAACGCTGGATATGAACTCGGTTCTAGTTACAAGTCTTGCACTAAAAGCGATGCCCTAAATATGGCGGCCGAATATGTTACACGGCGGTGTTTTGAAAAGAGTTACCGAAATCGGTCGAAAGAATATTCCACATCAGGTTTTTGTCTGGGGAAAACCTGACAGGCAAAAACAATGCAAAATTTAGTAAACACAACGATGGACTTCAAAGCAATAA